ACACGCAAAACAAATCTGTCATGTATGCAACTACTATTATGAGCTAAATAGAAATCAAATATTTAAGAAGCATTTAGTGTTCCAGGTTTTAGAATCCTAAATATCAGTTAATCAGTTAAAGTGTCTTCTGCATACCCACAACTTTCCATTCTGCAAAGCTCACATATAATTACCCCTGAAGCTGTCTGTCAGACTTAACAATAAACCCCAACTTTCAATATCATTTTCAAATTGAATTTTCGGTCTTTGACACTGTTTTTACCTGCTTTGTGAAAACAATGCTCTCTTGATACTTAATAAAAAGCCCATATAGGTAGCTATAAAAGGACTATCACAAAGAAAAGAATCATACCCAGAACCTCCTCCCTCCTTCTGCCCAAGTGTTCCCAGCTCAGTGTTTGGGCAGAAGGGGCCGTGGGAGTGCCAGGAGCAGTAAAATGAAAGAAAGGTTATTAAAAAGGGGAGAAGGGAGGGTAGAATACACACTTGACTTAATTATGTCCCACCAAAAGTCCATCTAACCCCACACCCTGTCCTTAACAGAAGCCAAAAATGAGAGCCTAGAGCAGATACAATGCAGACAGCATATGTGATATTTCCACTCAGCATTCACCTCATCTCCAATTATATTTAGTAATCCTCATGAAATGAGGATGAAATGAAATGAAATGAAATGGAAATGAAATGAATCCTCCAGTTCATTTCTCTTCCACAAACTTATCCATTTTCCCTGAACACAACTAAACTTTTAGCACCCAGAATTTCCCACAGCAAGGAGTTCCAGAGATTACCCAGGTATTGTACAAAGAATCACTGCGTCATATAAAGAGCCAGGCCTCTTTCTAGTATCATCTGATGATGCCCATTTCTTAAAATGGAGGTAACAAAGACCATCTGCAGCTTGTCCACTCTCTCCAGCCACCCACGACCTTGTTTGTATCCTGGTCTGACCTCCTAAGGGACCCTGCTTTAAGCAGGAGGTTAGACTTGCTGAGCTCCTGAGGTCTCTTCCAACCCGAATTATTATCCTGGGATCCTACGGTTTTATAGATACCTGTAGTTTCCCTCCACAGTTTTTCTGCTTCCATCTAGAAGAATCCCAGCCAACTTAGTTGCTCCTTATACAGAAACCAGCCCATACCTTCTGGGGGGTTGCCCTTCTCCAGTCCTACAGGAGTCTTTCTGAGACAGATAATCAGAAGCATCCACAACATTCAAGATGGAAGTGATGGCACAGATTTTTGCAGCAGCTTCACCATGTTCCCTGCTCTCCATTCCCTTCCTTACAATTCCTAACATATGATCTGCTTTTTCGACCAACATTATGTTTTGAGATGATATTTTCATAGAGCGATTTATCAGACCAAAATATCAGGGTATCATTCTTGTGTGGTGAGAACCTGCAGTTCATCACTGTCTATGGAAAGTTAGGATTGGTTTTCTTCTGAGCTCTCAAGAGTTCTCCGTTCTATGGGAAAAGTAGCTGAAGCAGACAGATTGTAACCCCTTGCTGGTGAAAGAGGCAAAGTTTTGTAAAGTTTTTCAAAGTTTTTGAAAGGCACTCGGGTGTTGCAGCACACAATGCTGTAACACTCCCTGCTTTGAGGAACCCAGCTGCTGAGTAACATGAGCTCCTTCACAAGCCCAAAATCAGTGCTTGGCTACAGAAATCAATGAATGGGGAGAAGTGGGCACCTAAAGACTGGGATTCACAAACACCCATGCATTGCATACACTGGGGAGAGCCAACACAAGGTGCTAAAGTCAGGGCATGTGTTTCAGTCTCCCCTCTCAAAGAATGTTTTCCTTCTGCTCAGGTTTCACAGCTCTGAGCTCTTAGGTACTCTCAGGCACCTAATCCAGACAGACCTTTCTCAGAAAACAGAGAGTATTACATGCTGGATTCACTTATGTTCTTACTCTTCACTACAGAAGGTGTAGGGGCCCTAAGTGCAAATCCTCCTTCTTATTGACGAGGAGCAACATAAATGCTGCAGCCACCAGCATCCGCAGGGAAGAGTATTGCTCCTTTTTCCCAAAAGCACAAGGCAAGTGTGTGAGCTAGGACTGCAGCATCAAGAGTCCCAGTCAAGTGCCCCAAACTCCACAGGAGCTGCTTGGCTAGCAAAAACGATTTGATCTAAAAATCAGCACCAATTTGTTGGTACAGCACTGTTGGGATGGATATGTTGGAAATTCACATTAGTTTACAGATAATCACCGTCCTTTAACATTAAAAATGCCATGGCCAAAAGGCTCTTTTCCTGAAAACAACTACCTCGGAGGTTTTTCTAATGTATACAAGTCATTTAGGGGTATGATTCTTTTCTTACTCCCATTTAACATAGATGCAGACAAAGTATATAGCAGAACTTGTCTTCAGTAGAAAACTATATATATTTACTTATCTTACTTTCAAAAGCAATTTCCTAAAAAATAAGCACTTGTGAAAAGCCTAGAAATGCCATAGCTTGTAATCAACTCTCTTTGGTACACACCATATTGAATATCCTTCTCACCATGGAAGCTAAGAAAATATAATGCATATTTAGTAGATTTCATTCAGGAGGCAAAGGGATTTGGTTAACATCAAATTCAGTGGTCACTAATCCCACTTTCCCTGTCCCTTTCCACCCAAGTCACACAAATATTGAAATTCTCCAAATGGTAAAGTTCAGCATCTTGAGCCCTGTTAAATCTTATAAGCCAAAGTAAATTCCATTTCTCTGATTAAACAGAGAGTATTTAGAAAGATCATTAAAAAGCAGTGTGTCTGAGTTGTTCTTGTTCTTTTTCATACCACCCGATTAAGCACTTTTTACTTTGACATCATTCAGAATTATGTTTCTGCTATGCATTTTTGTCCAAAATAAAAGAAAAGGTAGTCCCTGCTGAGGGTAAGGGAATGTAACATTTCAGGCGTGAAATCTTGCAAGATGGTGCAAATAAACCTGTGCCTAGCCCAGCGTGTCTCTGTACCACCTTTCCACCATGCTTTCCTCTTATTTCCTTCTTGATCACAATTCTTTTTGAAGTGGTGCTCTCCCTCCAAGATGCTCAGTACAGTTGTCTTTAGTCCTTTCCATTGATTCTAATATATCTTTACATAGAAAAATGTTTAAGTAAAAGAAAAAGAAAAAAAAAAAAGAAAAGACATTAAATATAAACAACCCCCCAGGTAGTATAACCACTGGGAAAATATCACTAGAGAATTAGCCAATTTTGCCAGTATAAGAATGTTAGCCCTCATTCTCTCAATGGTTCTCCACAGAAAATTAAACACTGTATTATGAGAGCCTAACTAATTGATTTCTTCAAAAGACTTGTGGTAAAAGGCCTTCTAAAAGTTGCTGCTTACAGATAACAATACGCGTCACAGATTAGGACAGATTCCCTGAGCGTTGGGAGAGTTTTATCTCCCCTTTGCCATTTCAGTGCCTTCTCATTGCCTCTTCTGGAGCATTTCATGACCAGTTTTACATCTCTGGAGTCAACAGGACTGAAGACAGTGGGCACAAAGTGATGCCCTGGGTGCTGACCACCATCAGACTCGGGATATTCGAACATACAAAGCTGGGGGCATGAGTAAGTTAAGCCAATGGACTTCACCTCAGCTCAGTAATGAACCACTCGATGGCAGGAGAACACAGACCCCGGAGCCCACCTGAACTTTGGTAGGTCATCCATCATATTTTCAGATGCAATTATCCACTGCAGCTCTCCTCAAAATAACCATCTCTGATTAATGTCCAAGAAGAAACATCACCATTTAAAAAACAAAGACTACTAAAGTATTTATTCATGTTCTAAGCATGAAAACAATGGCTAACTTTGAAAAACAGCACACAAAAAAAACCCCAACTTTGAAAGCAATAAAAGGAAATGCAGCACCGTTAGAGCACAGATCTCACTGCTGCCTTCTAATGTTCTCAAGACCATGGAATCACACCATTGCATAAGGAAACACAACAAAATGAAAACTGAGATCTTTGTCTCATGACTGTCACTACCCTTGTGTGTGCAACAGCAAGCTGAATACTGGTTAAACCATTTTAAGATCTAGATCAAGACTCTATACTACTGCTATGCAAGTTTCTTCAAAAATAGCAATATCGAAGTGAAGAAAGTTCAAAGATAAGCCTGTTATTTTGTTTTATGAGTAATAAAAATGTATAAATGATAAAAACATCACAGAAAAGGAATATATGTCCTTGTAAAACCAAGGCACGCTGCCACAGGAGTGAATTACTGGTATTTTTAACACAGCAACTCAAGCTTGCAGAGAAAACAACTACTTTACAGATTCTAGTTTTTCATTTTAATAAGCATTAAAGATCATAGGAGACAGCCAAGAGTTATGTAGTATCCTTTCCACCAATGTGCCTGTGCCATGTAAAGTGCATTTACAATGAGCAGAAAGAAATTTAAATCACTGTACACTCAGTCCCAGAAGCTGCTGCTCAAATTAATCCTGACCCAGCAAAAGTGCCAAGCACACGCTGAACTTTGAGTAAGTAAATAGTCCCAGCTAACTGTCTAATCACAGTGCCCCACACTTCTCAGGACAAATGATGTAGAGCCTGTCTCCAATGGAATCAACAAAAAAACCCAACCTGGCGTGGCAGGAGCAACGCATATTTCATTAGCCTTGTGCAAAATTACAAGATAAACTGATTACGTCTAACTTGCTCCTGCAGAAGCTACGGTCTGAATTTACAGGAAGCCAGACACTTCAGAATAAAGACCGAAAAGTTACCTCTTATTTATGGCAAAGAAGGAGCCTACACACCAGGAGTTACTGCAATTAGCTGACTGAGCTCCTGTGTTAGCTTGTGCCACTGTAGCTTGCCTGTTCACCCATACCTTAAGCTGTTAATAGCCTTGCTATTCAGAAGTTCTTGGATTTTTGCTTTGTTTGGGGGTTTTTTTTAGCCACCTAGATTGGCAATGAACTACAAGACAAAGGAGAATTAGGAAAAGAAAGAAAAGAAGAATGTTACCTGAAGGCCCTCTATGGCTAATCTAAGCATGCTTGGTGTGAGCTTGGAGGCCTGTTTGAAGGTGAAGTTGCTCCAGTCTATAATCAAAACAAATCCATTCACTTGAAGCTCGGGGTCTTCTATCATGGCTTCTAAAGAAAGAAGTATGGCCCGCAAAATATCCACCAGTGTGTACCTGTGAATGTTAAGGGGAGATTTGGTTAGGAAAGGAGCAACAACCACGGACGTGGATAAGTTCTGAGCGTTCTTCCTTTGTACTGCTTGTCAAAAGTTTAAATCGAAGGAGTGCAAACATATCCTCAGAAGTCACGGGTATGTAAAGCTGGGAAAGTCTCAAAAGCTCAATTAGTTGAACTCATCCTCTGGAGCAGGATTATGTACATCTAGACCATCAGCCAACCAGAACAAACTACAAGAATATAACACACCAAAAGCAAATTTGAACTTCTCTGTAGTCTCCTAAGCTGCTTTAATATCTATACATGTTATTAAATGTCTGTACAAACATATCCATGCAAACTGTATTTTTCTAAAATCGTAATGATACCAAAACCTGAGTCTAACACCAGAAGCCTAGACCCAGAGTTTCCTCCTATATTTTTCCAAGGGATTGAAATAACAGCTTCTACAAAATTATGAGTTAAAAAGGGGATTTCCACATGCTCCCCTTGTCCCTCTCTCTGGGTAATGTTTTCTCTTAAATCTACAAAGGGTATTACAGAAGGCTGATTACTCAAGGATCTTGAAAGCGGAAAGTAACACATACTAGGGCTTTGAGGTGTTTCTGGTTAAGAGCAATAGCAACCTTTTAAGAGTTACTTAACTGCCTTCTGAGTACTGAATACTTCGTATACCCAGATTATGTGGCTTCAGGAGTAAGTTTGGAACATGATATCCATCGGTCCTAGAATTTTCTATGTTAAATTTGGGTTTACAAAAAATGCCACCTACAATATGTAATTATGTGTTTTGCATACACGCACATAATCTTTTCTTAGATCGATGATCTTGTAAAAGGAGACATAATTCCATATTGCCAAGCCCTGTTAAGTATAATCTTTCTTTTTTGAAGCTAAAGCACCTAATACAGCAGCTGAATAGCTTAAATATATACAGCAAGGTCATCTTTAGACTCCCATATAATAGAGTTATTAATCAACTTGCAGTTTAGCTTATTGGGTTTTATTTAAAAAGGTGAAACACCTGAAGTATCAGGGCTTTTTTAAGAGACAGGAAAGTAGTAGTTTAAGTTTTGATTTTTTTCCCAGACTAACTATGTTTTATATCTAAAAATATTTTTTAAAAGTAAGATAAGTAGTTACTGAAACAGATGTAAATTTGCCAGTCCACACCACAGTATCAGATGCGGCATTAGAAAGCTAAGCCAGAAAAATATCAGATAAGAAGATATTCCAGGAACAAAAGAAGGAGTTAAATCTTCAGGGTTTGTGCTGATATTTTTAAATAAGGCCCTTTAAAAGTCTCCCATGATGACATCAAACATCGAAGTTCTCAAAATTACGAGTCCCCAGAGAAATTTTCACCATACTGCATATGTAGCAAAGAGCATGTGTGCCTATTTAGAAATTACATTAAATTATACTGAATTCTACTTGCTTTAATACGAGTACACCGTTCCATTGTTTACATAACTATATTTTGAAAGTATCTGCAAAAGGAAGTAACACAAAAGAAATTAATCTGCTCTAGCTGACTCCCCGCATCTCTCCATCTTTTTTTTTTTTTGGCCAACTAAAACTCAGTGAACTTCCCAACTATGTATTCCCAGGAAAAGGACTAGAAAAGGACTCTCTTAGTGTCAGCCTAACACAAGCGAACAAGAGAAAGTGTGCTTTCCCCAGAAAACATTAGGGGAAACATTGTTTCACATAATTCTTCTCTTCATTTTGGAGACCCTTATTTTGTTTTGAATTTGGTTTGGTTGACTGGGATGAAAGTTTTCATATTCACTCCTCTCCTTTTCACTTTTCTGAGAGTTAACTTTTTTTTAAGGCTTTACTTTTCCAAGAACTAAGGTTTACAGGAAGTTTGGTATGCTTCCTCTTTTCATTCAGGTTTCTTCAACAGGGAGAGGAAACAGCACGAGAAAAAAATCTTCTCTAATTCCCCTGCAGAAATCCACAAAACACTAAAATTCTCCGTTTCCTTTTGGCAGAAAAAAAGACGACCATTTCTGTAAAATGAATTTTGTCCATGGGGGATAAAAAGGACATGCCTTAAAACCGATTTTGAAGGAAAACATTCAAAACCTGGATCCTTAAAATTGTTAGCTCAATTTGATCATCCAAAACCTGTTAGGCCAGGACCCTGTTTTTGCAGCAGGCACAGGGAAACAATCCCCCTCTCCCCAGGCAGAGCAGCTCCCCCAAGCCCAAATGCTGGACGTGTGGGGAAAATGCCACCGTCGCTGCTGAAGCCGCTGAAAAACCAACGAAACAAACACCGCCAGCGTCACGGGGTGAAGAGCGACCTGAGGAAAAATGAGGAAATCATTCATCGGCTCCTTCCCAAACGAGCTTGCGCATGTATAATGGGACGTGTGGGGAGTGTTTGGCAGCATGAAGACTATAGACAGTTTTATTGGCGCTAACAAGGTCTTAGTTTGCCTAGCGTGACTGCAGACCAGTCTATCCATCCAATACAACACTGCTGCACGGACAGTGGAGGGCACCTAATCAACATCAGAACTAAAAATCTCCTGCACGACATGCATTTTGTACAACTGCCAGCATCGGGATTAAAACACGCACTCAGCCGGAGGGAAGGAGGCTTACAGGGTCGTGTCCAGGGTCGGGGCTGGGCTCAGAGCGTGGCCAGCTGCCTTCAAACCCCTCGTTACCTCCACAAGGTGGTGGAGGTCTCAGAAATACTGGGGGTTTTATCGCTTCATGAAATTAGCTGGCGACACGCTCTGTAAGAGGCCTTCCCAGGGGAAACGTTTCACTGGGAAGGAAATTACATCAGGTGAGACATTGGGAGAGCAGCTAATGCCTCGGCCTGAGGAAGATCATCTACCAGAGCTCATACAAGAAACAGACATCAGAAATACTCAAATCCTAGAATTAGCCTCAACCCCACCTGACACTTAAGCTGCCCCATTCAGAGGTTCTCATTCTCCAAGAGAAGAGCTCCATGAAGCAGAAGGCTGCTGCAAGCACCCTACATCCAGTCCAAGAAGATGGGCCCCAAGTTCCTGATGTAGATCTCTCATGTCCTCCCTCGGGAGTTCAAGAAGACATCTCATGCCTTGGATTAACGGCTCCCTAGTGGTACGAGGCTGCTAGACATCTGGTGCATTAGACAGAAAGATTCTTTGTTTATGAGGCCAATCACATCTCTAACACGGGCCGTAAAATGCTTTTTATATATATGCCTAAGTGATAAAGATATAGATGTATATATGTAAACACAAATATGCCTAATTATGTCCTGAATTCATTCAAGTCAACGAGAAAACTGTCTAGGCATCAATGAGACCAGGATTTGAGCCACCACAGAGAGTAACCAATGGTCACAGGGCTGGGTGGCCACAAATCGGTGCCATATTCACCATCAACATAACTTCTGTTGCAGGTTTGCTTAGTGTAGGAAATGCAGTCCACAACAACAATGACGATATTGTATGTTTACTCACTGAAGAAGACAAAAGGTTGTCCTCTCAGTGAAAACAAGTCCTGAAGAACACGGGTCTAGCTAAAAGCAAGCAAGAACACTTTCTGCAAGAGGAAGGTATCTGAAGTACTCTTTAAGTCTAAAAAGCCACATCAGGAGTACACAGGGACATGTCACTAACAACCAAGCTTCCCACCTCAAATACCCTTCAGGGCAACTAGTTGAAGATAGGAGCTATCCTTCATTCTGTAATGGACTTCTTCTCTGGGTTTTGAGACCTTACTTAAGCACAGTACAGAAAACCAGACAAGAAAGACAAATCCATTAGTGGATGTTTAAAGCAGCTTTCACTCTGAACACATGCTGAGGCAAGCCAGAAATGTAAACCCAGTGTGACAGATGAAATCTTAGGTGGTGCAAATGGCAAGCTGAGTATTGAAAGTATCAGCTGAACTGCCCATGCAAATGAAACACGATTAAAGAAACTATAGTGAAGCTTTCACACAGCACAGAATTATTTGCATAAAGACTCATCTTTAATCCACTCCAGCCCCATCTTGTCCAACATTTCGCCTCACTGCTACTACTGTTCATGTCAGCACCAGGAGGCACAGGGTCTCCCGTAAAATACGCCCCATCCTTGGTTGGACTTGAGGAAGATTAAAATCCTATGTAAAAAGAACATGGGAAAAATTACTCTGGATTGTGTTGCTGAAACTTTTCTTTGAAAAAAAATCAACATATTAGCCTTTAATTTTAAGAGGCCATGGTGTCCGGTCTGAGAGGAAGATGGTGTTGTTTTATTCTTACCAATCCGCGTTAAGTAACAGCATGTATTTAGGGGAGAGCAAGCCGCTCATTTTGCCCGAGCCCCAGTTTTACAATGACTGCTCCAGTGCTGTCAGGTACACAGGGTGTGCTGGGCCTGATTTGCTGCAGTGCATGTGCTATAGTAGCCTAAAGTCAGGCTATGAAGAAATAAATCCTTATTTATTTATGGCTAAGTTCAGTTGCGTTCACTTGTTTAAACAGTCTCTTATGCGACATGTTGTAGCCAGCAAGGTATTACTAATTGCTAGGATAATCGAGAACTCACGGTTAATTTAAATGTATTTAATGCCCTCTATTTATAGAACCATGCTTAATTCAATGGAGAGCTTAGACAACTTTTTTAGCCCAGTTACTAATGTGAATAACAAATGCTGGAAATATGTTATCACATATATAATGCACTCTTAGTGTTCCTTTTCTGTGTGAGTCCCAGCTTCAGTTCAAATGAGGTGGGGACTGGTGTGCAGACACACTCTGCTGCCTCTTGAAATTCTTCATTCAGGTTGACTTTAAAGCAATGAGCCTGGGAAGGCTTGACAAGTTAATAGCCAGACTGACAGTGATTCTTTCAAATGCTTTGGGATGGCTACCATTTCTACCATGACAGCGACAGAGCTTTCTAGGGTATTGCCTCACTGAGGTCTTGATTTGTCAAAAACAGAATGGCTCAACCAATTAACTGAGCATCCCACTCTCTTGTAATTTAACAGT